TTGCCTGTAAGGTGAATTGATTTGGTGGAATACACACAAGTGGCAGATCTCTCCTGTCATTTTTATGTAGTCAGTGTTTGGAACAGAAATGTAGTTTAGCACGTGCTCTTAGGGATCCTTTTGTGAGACAGGTGCTGTTTCTGAGTAGTTTGAGCAACAGTAGATATGTCACCAATGCTGTAATAATGCTTCACTTTTCTGATACTGTGAGGGCACTGCGCAGTAGTATCTATCAATTTATTATAAGCCATTCCAACTCATTTTCCAGTATTCAGTCTCTCCTCCTTTTGATGACTCCATTTTATTCTCTCTGTGTGTGTATATTTATAAAGGAGAAAATAAAACCCATGTTATGATGGAACATTATAACAAGAAGAAAATTGCCACCCATATTGTTACCATCATCTCACCAATCCCACAGGATTCCTTGTCATCCTGAAAGACAGATGTAAGGGGAAACAAAGGCTTCTGAAGACAGAGTGATTTTTAAAGGGTCATGGATATCTGGTGTGTGCTTAATTCTGAACAGGATTGGGCTAAAACTCCTCAGCCCTGTTTTAACTGTGGACCTGGAATTAGAATGCATGGCACGCTCCGCCAGTGAGAGCAGGGGAATTGAAGTAAATTTTCTAATCTGACTGCAGACTATGCATTTGGCTCAGCTTTTCAGAATCATTACTGAAGTTTAGCAATCCAGGCACAAAACCCTTTTTGACCTCACATTGCCATTACAATTATAACAATAGCAACAAAAAACCCCCCTACTAGTTTTTTTTTCCTATGGCAAAAATATACTTTGCTTAAACAAGTAAGCAAATAGTATTCTACAAGGGTGATTTAGTTTATCCTCAGTTTTCTCATCACTAAAATAAGGATACTTACCTCTACCTTACAGATACAGGAAACTTAGTTCAGCAATATTTCTGAAGGACTTTGAAGTCCCTGGATGGCATGTTTTATAAGAAGGGCAGTGTCATGGTGTAATGCTAGGTCCAGAAGTGAAGAATCATGGACCTTATTTGTAAAACAAAGCTATGGTTGCCTTTTCAATTGTGACAAGAGAGCTTGTCAAGTTTTGGACACTTGAAGGGCACACGCAAACCAAATTTCACTGTTGGTCTTACTTGCCAGCATTTTATGATTTATGAAGCATTACTCTGCCCCTGCAATACTTGCCTCACCTTCACTTTATGGCAGCAAAGGGCTGCACATACACTTTGAATGATGATGGAATTATAATACTGTCCATGTCAGGAGATTTTATGCAAATCTTTAAAAAGTTGCATTCCATGGTAGGATATGAGTGGAAGTGATTGGTGCATCCCAGCAACATCAGCAGGATACTTTTAATTTCTGAAGGTTACTTCAAAGGCAAACTGTTTCAAAGGTGTTGTTTATAGAAAATACTCATTTTGGGAGCACCTTTCTCTCTAATCTCTTCATTTCTGTCATCCTCGGGACAGAAAAGCAATGACACACCAGACTGAGGATGTCTCTACCTTATCACACAGAAGCTGAGGTGGTGTAAGCTAGTTGAGCTTGGTTTATTTTAAATTCACTTGTAGAACATTTGACCAAGAAGCTAGGGACTCTAGTTCAAGTCCACAAAAATGCCAATGA